CGCGGGGCGGGAGAGCCGCGGCCTGCAGCCCCGCGGTGTCCCCGCTCCGCCCGGCCCTTCTCGGGGCTCCGGGCCGCCCCTTCCTGCACTGGAGGCGCCCTCGGAAAGCGCCAGCTCCGGCTCGTAGTTTTGCCCCTCTTTTTTTTGACTGTGGAAACCCCCCCGAGCCAGGACAAGAGCCCCCGGCCCACCCCGACCTGCCGCTGTCGGCCCGGCCAGCCCCGAGTGCGCGGCTCCTTGCCTACCGGAGCGAGCGCGGGGCGCACCTCAGGCCTGGCAAGGAGCGGGTGGCAGAAGTATGCGCGGATTGCGAGCGCGGGGCGATCTCCGCCGTGGTCAGCCCTTGAAGGCCTGTGGGTGCAGGCAGCGTTTCCTAGCCCCTTTTCGAAGCAACCCAGCTGAAGGGATTGACACCCGGCTCCATCTCAGTCCACCCGCTTAGGGTGACCGTATCCGCTCGCACTGAAAAGAAGGGGTATGAGAAATGTTCAGGGTAAGGAGTATTCAAGTGGTGGATGTGCACTGTTTTTCCTGGGAATGTTTCAGCAGTTTCCACCCCGTGAGGGATAGGTGTACTGCTGTAACAAACCCCCGCAGCATCAGGCGCCAGCACCGCAGCTGAAAGGGGTTGTCTCAGTTTTATCCACAGAGCAGTTTCCCAGGGGAAATGGAAAGAGCGCTTCATTGCTTGGACAATTTAAAAGCAAACTGGAAGAAATGTTAGGAAAACGTACCCGGAAATTTCCCATTGATTTCAGTGCTGGGAGATCACTCACACTCTTACTTTGGTGTTGGTTCTTGGGTGCAACTCAGACGCTGTTCATGTTTTATGTAGTCTACGTATTGGTTGGCCCGGTAATCACAAGTGATGTTTCATATTCGGTTATGATTTACAACTCTAGAACCTGGGGGAATATTAACTGCAGCTCAAGTTTCAAAGGCAAACCTGTTTGTACAGATAAAAACTACTATCCATTTGGTAATAAAAACAAATTGCTATTCTATGTGCAAATTTGAATTAACTTCAATCATATCATTTTAAGTAGAAATTCTTGACCTTTGTCTGCAATATAGTCAGCTGTAGTCCACTCATTATGGAACCTCTATAAATAACATACATTCTCATTAGGTTTATAATCTTAATTGCCTTCAATATATCATGTTTAAATTTATGCACATTGTAGAATAAGAATTTTGTCTACAGCTGCATTGCACTCATTCATACATGGTTCATGAAAGACATGATACTCAAAGATATATCTTTGTGAAGATATCATTTTTAGTGATAATCAACAGAAATACAGAAAGTTGTGTTATCTGTGAACAGGTGTCAACTTTGGTGCTGTTTTTGAAAAACAAGAGTCATACTTCCATTTTATTTTTCTGAATAACCACTGAACAATGACTAGGATTTAATTTATTTACTTAATAGTTTCATTTATGACCTAGTCTAAGGTCATATTTGTGTACAGTGGTTTTGTGTTTATTGCTTTAGCTTATCCATTTAATTGCTGAATGCCATTTTTTCAGCACGCTTAAAGTATGTCTGGGGCAGTGGGAACCTTTTGGGGAGGAGTGCCTCTCCAATCCCCTTCCCCTGCCTGATCTGTTGCTCTGCTTCTGCTCCCTGCCCTATCTGCCACTGTGTTCCCGGTCCCCTGCCCAGTCTGCCATATGCCACGCAGAAGCTGCCTATTTTACTTGTCATGCTTCTGCCACAGATTGGTCACCACTACCTTGGGAGAATCTTGTTTCTTTTTTTCCTATAGTTAGATATAGCCCTCCATCTACTGTGGTGAAGTGGCTGGTCAGGAATAATTCCTTTCCTTCCCGTACTCTGTTTGGGTAATAAATCTCACCTTGTCTATCACAATTTTCAAAGAATTATAGTTGCACATCCACACTTCTTTTCTCCTTTTAATTTGTTTAGAGGGCTTGTGATGAAAGCTGTGCAATGTTGGTTTCAGATGCTGTAGATTTCATAGTTTCATAGTTGGTAGGGTCAGAAGGGACCTGAGCAGATCATCAAGTCCGAACCCCTGCCATGGCAGGAAAAAGTACTGGGGTCAAATGACCCCAGCAAGGTGTTCGTCTAACCTCCTCTTAAAGACCCCCAGGGTAGGAGCCAGCACCACTTCGCTTGGAAGTTGGTTCCAGGTCCTAGCCTCCCTGACAGTGAAGTAGCGCCTCCTGATGTCTAGTCTGAATCTACCCTCCGCCAGCTTGTGACCATTATTTCTAGTCACTCCTGTAGTGCTTGGGGGAACAGGGACTCCCTCAATGCCTGCTGGTCCCCTCTGACTAGTTTGTAACAGGCCACTAGATCCCCCTTCAGTCTTCTCTTGTGGAGGCTGAACAGGTTCAGGTACCTTAGCCTCTCCTCGTAGGGCCTGCCCTGCTGCCCCCTGATCATGCGGGTGGCCCTCCCCTGGACCCTCTCAATGCTGTCCACATCCCTCCTGAAGTGTGGCGCCCAGAACTGGATGCAGTACTCCAACTGTGGCCTGACCAGTGTCGCATAGAGAGGGAGGATCACCTCCTTGGACCTGCTCGAGATGCATCTGGGGATGCATGACAAGGTGTGGTTGGCCTTCCTGACCACGTCCCCACACTTTTGGCCCATGTTCATTTTGGCATCAATAACCAAGATCCTCCATTTGATTACTTCCAAGTTATTTTCCTATGTTTACTGTCAAGTCCTGGCTCCATGTTAGAGCATTAACAGATAGTTTGCTGAGTTTTTTGTTCTTAAATGAATGTTCTTAGAAAAGATGAGGTAATTGCAAGACATTTCCTACTAAGACTTCAGCGCCAAATCATGAACCTTTTACTGCCATTGCTGAAAAGGTCCCACATGTGTAGTAATTCCCAAGCTGTATCTTATGGTAATGGAAGGTATTTGAAACTAGGCAATTATGTGCTAAATGTGTTTTTTTTACTGTACTCAGTTTCCGTTTATTTATCAAAAAAAATTAATTACATTGGAAGTTGTTTAAAGAATCATTAAATATGGTAATTAATAATACAAGCTTTTGGGGGCAGGAACCATCCTTTTTCTGTATTTATACAGCACCTAGCACAGTGAGACCCTTCTTTATAATTAAGGCTCACAGGCACCACACTATACATAAAATTAATAATAATTTTCAATTTCCTAGAGTTACAAAGAATCTCTTTAATCCTTGTGTTTTTAAATGTCATGATACCCATCAATTTCAATAGGGTTCTGCACACAAGTGAAACAACCTGCAACTATTAGGTTAAATTCTCTTTGTATTTATAGTCATTAACCGTAATGACAGCAAATCAGAAGTTTTGGGACACAGATCTAGATAATTCCATTGCTGAGGTATCTAGGACCTTATTGCTCCTATTGTTTCTTATTTGGTTGTTGCATGGCATGAGAGAAGAGAGAAAACAAGTTGGGGTTTACATTTTGTACTTTCTCCAGCTCCCGCTAATAGGTATTATTACATCAAATCTAGCCCAGCGCATAGAGAAGGCAGTAAAACAATAAATGGATTAGCAGTAAGAAGCTCACTGTGATTTCAGTATCCGTACTGTTTGAGTAGGATTGGTTAGATTTAAAAAAACCTTGGAATTCTTTTTGATGAAAGAAACTTGTTTAAACAATACTGCTTCTTAGGAGTTCCTGCCTACAAGAGCACCCAAAGTATACACATGCTTATTGGTTGTAATGTTATATCCATGTGAAATTGTGGAATTGATGATAAGCATATATAGAAACCATTCACTGGCATGTATCTAAACTTTACTTTCCAAAACTTCTTTCCCACATGCATGGGTGGATCTAGGATTTTGAAAAGATGGATGCAGACAATGTGGTGCATCATCACATGTAACACAATATATATTTTCTCCAGTTAAAAAGAAAATAGAAGGTTTACTAATATGCTAGGGGCCAGAGGCTATATTATCCAGTTTAAGTTTGAAGCAAAAACAAATATAACTTAATCAGAATTTGCATTAATTTGCTACATCATCTATTGTGTATAAAAACACAACCAACTAGGCAACAAATAATCAAACAATGATGTTTCATTAGCTTTATAGTAGTGGTCACCCAGGCTAGCCCCCCCAGACTGAGATCGACTGTCAGAGGCTCCGCGATCGGGAGCAGCAGGACTCAGTCCGGGAGCAGCAGGATGTTTGAGCAGCAGAACGTACGTGGCTGTATTGAGCTGTGCCTCCTGCTGCTAGGGCCAGGCCAGGAGAGTGGGACTATCCCCCTCTGCGTCCCCTGCCCCTGGGTGAGGGGGTCCCTTGCTGGGCTGGGCCGGGGGAGGGTCAGAGCATGGCAGCTCGTCCGGGGGCGGGGGATCCCGCTGCTGCACGTACCCCGGTGGAGGTCTGGGGGCCACGTGCCCCCCGATCTGTGCGCGGAGTGAGGTGGCTGCCACTGCGTGCTGAGCTTTGTGCCCCAAGCCCAGCTGCAGCTCAGGGCGGAAAGCTGTTAGAAGCTCTGGTCACATATCTAAATTGTTTGCTGGTACATTTATTTTTACAACACATTCCCTGGTTCTGGGAAATTCACCACCTGCTCTGTCCCACCCAAAAATGACAGCCCAGTCTGCAGAATGGCACACAAACCTTGTGAGAATATATTTTTGAAATCAGTCTTTATTTCAAAAACCTTTACAATATTTACTGGTTTATTTTGCTAAACCTTCTCCTAAGAAGGGTGCTTTATAATTTCTAATAACAACTAAGTCTCATTGGCTTTATCTTTACAACATGCCCCCATATGAATGTGCTTAGAGATCCAAGGCACTAAAGCAAATGGTAATCTATCCAGCTGAAAACAGTCTTATTTCTTTACCCCCGCCAATAGCAAAAGTTTTAAAACACATTTTAAACTGTTTTTGCTAAACCCTTTTCTTAACCAGGGTTTTATAATTTCTAGTGCCAATTAAGCGTTCAGTATAGGATGCCAGAGATTTATCTTCCTCAGTAATCAAACCATAAAGAGCAGCATTAGGATCTTCTGCAAAATACACAGCGTTTAGCATTTCTATACCCTGAGCTAAATGTTTCTCAGTAATTCTTGGCAAATCTGATCACCATAAAAACATTTAGAACACTTTCCATACACAGCTCATTGCAAAGTTCCTGAATTATTTGATTTATATCTTCTATATCTCACCAGGTATCATGATCATGACAACCTTGACCCCTCCCCACTCATCAAAAACACAACCCATGAACTTTTCAAAAAGCCTCATCTTCAGACAGTATTTTATTATGCCATAAAAAGAAACCTGCATAAGATGAAGATTTTATGTTCTTGATGTGAAACAGGACCTGTTGATTCAATGCCTAATTATCTTCTAAAATCTTCATCCTCATCTGGTCTCTGTTCTCTGCAAAAACAGCTGCTTCTTTTTGGTATCTGGGTTATGGGTGTATCGGTAGGTAGACTTTCCTGAGTCAATAAAAAGGCTTCATCTAACTGCAGAGGGGTTCAAATGAAAACCTTAGTTAGCCACTGTATAATCAATCCTTAGCTACTTCCTACTTCCCCCATTCAGCTCCTCCAGCTGTGATCCCCTCTCTGGAACCTTTGGCTTCCCCTTAGGCCCTGGCCCCGCCTTCAGGCCAGTTGGAATCCTGAGTCTCTTGCTCTGGGCATTCCTTGCTGTGAGCCCCTGGCCCTTTGACCCCACTTTGGGTCCTGGCCCCAGCATGGACCAGTTGAGGGTACCTTTGATATGCACCTCTGGTGACAGTGGCTTGCTCTAGCCAGGAAAATTGATCCCCTGGAACTTCTTCATTTAGTTCTGAAGCTCCCTCACTATGGGGATCACTTGGCTAAGGAGGGCATTGGCAGAACTGAGGCTTCTGGTGGCCTCAAGGAATGGCTTGAGGACCACCAAGATCTGGGAGATGGTACCCGACTCTGTTTTGTTAAGGGGGTTGCTGATCCTAATCTCCCCTAGCAAGGCCATCTCATGGATGGCTTTCTGTTGCTTGACCAGCCTTTCAAGCATCAGGTTTGTGGAGTTCCACCAAGTCTCTACATCCTGCATGATTTTGTGCTGTGGGATGCTCAGCTCTGACTGTT